CCCGCAGCCTGGCCCGCCTCGCTCACCGCTGTCCCCTGCAGCCTTCATCTCCGTGTCCGGGGACTGCCCGCTGCACCTGGACGAGATCCGCCACTTCCTGAGCCTGTGCCCGGAGCTGTCCCTCGGCTGGTTCGAGGAAGGGCGCCTCGTCGCCTTCATCATCGGCTCCCTCTGGGACGAGGACAGGCTCAGCCAGGTGAGAGCCAGGGCCCCGCTCGAGGCCCTTCCCCAGCCCCGCTGTCCAGGGCGCTTGGGACACATTGGGCCTTTCTGCGCCCGATATCCCTGGTCTTGCGGGGGTGATGGGAGAGGCAGGACCTGCCATGTTCCTCAGCAGGGCCAGCCTGGCCCTGGCACATCCCATGCCCACACCGTTGGTGAACCTCAACCAAAGGCTCCCAGTTTCCCACTGAGATCCCAGGTCTCCGTGGGCCACCCGATGCCATTGAAGCGAGCACAACCCCAGCACAATCCCTGCCCATCCCAACCTCCCAAAATGTTTTCCCGACACCTCCCGATGCAGAGATTTGTCCAGGGGCAGCTGAGCCATGCTCTGCCCCACCATCCCACCCCCTTGCTTCTGAGGAGAAGCACTGGGAAAACGCCCGGTGGGACCCGGGCCTGGCCTCTCCTCGGAAAGCAGCCACCCCGGCCGCTTCCTCGGCACTGCTCAGCTCCGAGGCGCTTCATGAGCTCGTCGTTCTCTCCAGACAATTTGGAGCTCATTCAACACAGGAGAGAGATCTCTGCAAAATGAGACGTTCCAGGGCTGCTCTTGCATAGAAACAATTTCTCATTACTTATTTTCGCTGCTATTAAAACCTGCCCTTTTCCCCGCCATGAAAAAGCATTCGTTTTAAAAAGGAAAAGCCTCCACGGATCAGAGGGGGGTGGATCAAAGAGGATGGCACCCGAATCCGGGCTCTTTTCCCAAAGCCGGGCTCTTCTGGTCGCCGGAGCCGGCGCAGAGCCCGGCTAGCTCCTCGCTCCCTCCCTCGCAGGCGGCGCTGACGCTGCACCGGCCCCGCGGCACGGCCGTGCACATCCACGTGCTCGCCGTGCACCGCGCCTCGCGCCAGCAGGGCAAGGGCTCCATCC